AGGGATATGGGGCAAAGGCCGGTTATTGGATTTGGAGGGAGCGAGTCAGAGGGATGCAGTTCAATAATCTTAACAATAATAATCCTTGCATTCGATATAGCGCCTTATCACATCGTTGAGACATCTCAATGCTCTTCACAGGATAGACTGGAAAGTGGATTGATGGTGTATTCTGTGGGCAAAACAGGGCAGCCAATTGCAGAGCATGGCAGCGTCCCACAACCAGTCGTGGATTGAGAGTTCCAAGTGGGGGGAGGGCGGTAGAACTGAAAGCTCCCATCCTGTCGATAGTGCGGTGGATAGGGCAGGGGTGTTGAAGCAGGCTGCTGAGTGAAGGGAACTCCAATGTCAGAACTGTAAGGCGCTGCATTAAACGCAAGCATTGTTATTTAAGTGTGATGAATGGCCTTACCTCATTTATAAGTTTCATGCTTAATTCTTTGTATTTTGCACTACTTGAGTTTCTGTAGTCCTCGATGAAAGGCTCATTTGTAATTCTTGTTTGTGCCTCCAACACCTTGCCCGCTGTAATGTACCAAAGAAACAGAGACTGGTTATTTGATTGGGAAAAGCATGAGGTAGACACTGCACTCACACTGCTGCAAACCCCCGTGGGGTAGAGAACACACTGTGTGCTGTGGTAATCGTCACCTAGGATAACAGCGCGAGGATATTTCAAAACAAATTTTACCAATATCCCATTGTTTACCTCGCAGTAAGTAGGTACGCAGTTGTTAGTTGATTCGTGGATCAGTTTTCCAAGAGATAATAATCCCTTCAAATTTTTAAAAAATATGTAATAATAATAATAATTCGGCCACTAAATCCATGACTGTTTGTAAGATATTGCTGAGCGCAATTGGCTACTGCATTTTACCCACCAACATATACAGGCATTTCACTTTACAGTGCATTCTGTGAATGGCTTTGAGACACCTCAATGGCTTGAGTGGTGCTATATCAAATGCAAGGATTATTATTATTAAATAAGGAATGTAAAATAAGGAATGATAGTTCCACTCCTATAGATGTTCTGGCCAATAGGAGAATCCCTATGGACTGACAAACTAATTCTAGGTGGAATTTTGTGTTTCCCACCCCCACTCCTACCCTCCTTCCCACTCAAATGTCTCGGAGTATCAGGAAGTATGAGGTGAAAGAGTGAGTCCAAATTGCATGAATCATAAAAAATTCATATTCCTTATTGAAGAGACATTGTGTTGTCACTGCTTTGTACAGATATTGACGCTCAATGTATGTACAAAGGAGTTTGTTGTTTTTTTTTAACTCGTTTGAAAAGAGCCTCAATCCCGGCAGCTAACAAGAGCTTGACTCCAATCAGACTTGTCTGGAGTTCAGGCCTTAAGTGATAATTGGGCATCAGCCACAAGCTAAGCATCAGTATAAAGCTGGAGAAGACGGATGTAAAAAGAGAGATCTTCCTTTTCAAACTAAACCTTTCCTTTTTTATTGTTGAAACCGCTGTACAAGTTTTGTTTTCCGGGCACAGCCCACGACATCCTACAGTGTCTTGAAATATCGTGGCATCCCAAACTCTCTACCCAAACTCCTAAATAATGGTTGTGTCCAAATCTGATCGATGAGCCCTGGTCTTCATTATCTTGGATTGTCACCAAGCAGGGGATTGGTTTTCACCTCCTCCTCGTCATCCTCCTCTCTCCACCCTCCCCATAATATCCTCCCTCCCCTCTCCACCAGTGTCTCTACGACTTACTTGTCCGAACTTTGCAGTGTTATTGACTGCGTCATATCGCATGTGGTTGTTGACGTGCGGATCTCGTAAACTGTGTCAGGCTCCAGGTTTTGGAACGTCGAGTTTCTCTCTTTCGTTTCAATTGTTTCAATTGGTTGCTCGGTGCCACTGACGAAGATGGCGGCGTTATAATTGGGATTCAAGTTCGTATCCTCATGTTGCCAACTTATTTTTATTTTTACACTTGTCACTTGCACTAAATTGATGCGGGTGAACACCAGCGGCACTGCAAAACACAATAGAAAGGTTGGATTACTCCTTCGCTCACCCACACTTCTCCCTTACTCAGCTACTCAGGCTTGCTGAGTGCCCCCCCCCAACCTCTATGCCCCTAACTTCTGGAACTCTCTCCCTCCCTCACGCTGTCTCATCCATGTACACACTCGCATGCTTGCACGCACTTTCTGTGTTAAATTCCTACCTAAATCTCAACTCTTCAAACTAAGGGTTTCTGAAAGCAACAACAACAATCAATAAATGACATTTGTACAATGCCTTTCACATCGGGAGGACTTCCCAAGGTGTTGGATAGTCAAGGATTTGCACCAGAGCTGGGGGTTGGGATCAGGAGGTGTGGAGGGCAAGGGGGTGGAGTAAGAGGGTGACAAAAGGCCCGGTTGAAGAGGAAGGCCATTGAAGGAGGCAAGGAAGAGGTGCGGGGGTGAGGCGGAGTGACTGAGGGATAGGAGTTCCAAAGAGTATAGGGCAGAAAGTCAGAAGGCTTGATTGCTGATGGTGGGCAGGCGGCAGAAGCAGGCCAGAGTCCCTGGGTTTAAGAAAGAATACTTTTGTGGGTTTGTAACATGCACAACCATATCTAAGTTACTTACCACAAGTCCCAATAACAGCAACAGTTGTGGGGTTTGTTTTGGTGGTGGGGGTTGTGGTGATGGGGTTATGGTGATGGGGGTTGTGGTGGCCGAGGTTGTGGGGGTGGTGGTTGTGGGGATTGTGGTTGTGATTGTGCCATGTGGAGCGATGGTGAGAGTGGTGTTGGTAACGACAGTAGGATTTGTTGTGGTGGGGCCTGAATTTTTGGTTGAGGTGGAGCTGCTCCCAGTGGACGTGTCAGTACCAGTAGGATTTCCATTGGAGGTACTTGTTGATTCCACAGTTGTTGCTAAACCAGTGCTGCCTGTTGGGAGAACAGTAGTCACAATAACGGAGAGAGAATAAAGTACAATTAACTTTTACATAGAATTACAAGCGCTGAAACAGGCTATTTGGCCTATTATTCCACGCCAGTGCTTATACTCCCCACAAACCTCCATTTCCGCTATTTGTGTCTCCAATACCCCTTTTGTTTGGTCAGTTGGGTTTCTGACACCCATCACCATGCTTCCAAAGTATCCAAACCAAACTGAGATTTCCATGCATCCCACCTATACATGAAAATCCCAGAGATAGATTATTGGAATGCAATGCGCACTCTCTCCCTGGAGAGACACATCCTACTCATCTAATTCCAGAAATTATTAGACGCAGATTGGTAAGAGCCAAGGTTTGGGGACGCAAGAGTATTTACTCTACAGCTGGAGTCTGATCAGCTAAAGCCTCATAGTTTGCCATTGATATCAGTGTCTGATAAGCTTTCCCACTCTTGTTCAGCTCGGACCACCCTACCCGTCAAGGTGTTGGCTTCCAGAGTAAATAACCTGCTCCTCCCCCTCTCCTTTTTTACACAGTTTTCCTCTGAAATATATTGATATAGTGAAACATTATGTCTCAAAGGATTGTGTCTCAAAGCACTTCAGAAGATGTACTGTACCTTCACACATTCTTCCCGAGAAGTTGGGGCTTGTGTCATTAAATCCAGCCTTGCACTTGCACGTGTAGGTTGAATTCTGTCTTATACATGTTGCGTTACCTGAGCAGTCATTGGTCCCCGTTGTGCAGCTGTCTCTTTCTGTAATGTAAAATCCACAGACAGAGTGATGAGATTCTCACCAGAAAATGGTCTCAAATCCCTCTGCCTCATACCTCCCAAGAAAGAAGAGAGGGAGGGAGATAGGAACAAAGGAAAGAAGGAAGGATGGAAGACAGCACCGCGAGTAATGGAATGATGCTCACCCCCATTTTGGGGTATTTTACCCCCTAAGTGTCAAGCCTCTAAGACATGTGGTCATGCTTCTTAGCTATAACAACAGTAGGGTAGAGTTTCGGAGCGCTGAACCTACCTACTACACTTACCTGATATGCTGGTGTTTGTCATGTCGAAATCTAACACTGTACTCTTGTTTAATGCATCCATGAATGTTTCCTTAATTTCGCTGTTAGTGACATTTACATCTTCATTTGCCACAATGCTAAAATTCACCACCACAATTCCTTCAGTTATAGAACTAATCCTGATGAACAGACTTTTTGCACTAAGCAAACTCCGAACCAAATTGCTCAGTCCTTTCTCGATCTGAAAGAACCCAAATCAGACTGTTATACGTTGCTGGGAAAGAAGCCGCAGATTGGGTTCACTTGCAAAAAGAAATGCTAAGATTCAAAGGTTCATGGGTGATCTGATTGAGGTTTTTAAAATAATAAAGGCACGTGACAGGACAACGACAGAGATACTGTTTCCTCTGGTTGGGGAATCCAGAACAAGGGGCATCATCTTAAAATTAGAGCTTGGCCATTTAGGAGTGCAATCAGGAAGCATTTTTTCACACAGAGGGCAGTGGAATTCTGGAACTCTCTCCCCCAAAAGGCTGTGGATTATGGCTGGATCCATTCAGGTTTTTAAGACTGAGGTGGATAGATATTTGTTAGGTCAGGATATCAAGGGATATGGGGCAAAGGCCGGTTATTGGATTTGGAGGGAGCGAGTCAGAGGGATGCAGTTCAATAATCTTAACAATAATAATCCTTGCATTCGATATAGCGCCTTATCACATCGTTGAGACATCTCAATGCTCTTCACAGGATAGACTGGAAAGTGGATTGATGGTGTATTCTGTGGGCAAAACAGGGCAGCCAATTGCAGAGCATGGCAGCGTCCCACAACCAGTCGTGGATTGAGAGTTCCAAGTGGGGGGAGGGAGGTAGAACTGAAAGCTCCCATCCTGTCGATAGTGCGGTGGATAGGGCAGGGGTGTTGAAGCAGGCTGCTGAGTGAAGGGAACTCCAATGTCAGAACTGTAAGGCGCTGCATTAAACGCAAGCATTGTTATTTAAGTGTGATGAATGGCCTTACCTCATTTATAAGTTTCCTGCTTAATTCTTTGTATTTGCACTACTTGAGTTTCTGTAGTCCTCGATGAAAGGCTCATTTGTAATTCTTGTTTGTGCCTCCAACACCTTGCCCGCTGTAATGTACCAAAGAAACAGAGACTGGTTATTTGATTGGGAAAAGCATGAGGTAGACACTGCACTCACACTGCTGCAAACCCCCGTGGGGTAGAGAACACACTGTGTGCTGTGGTAATCGTCACCTAGGATAACAGCGCGAGGATATTTCAAAACAAATTTTACCAATATCCCATTGTTTACCTCGCAGTAAGTAGGTACGCAGTTGTTAGTTGATTCGTGGATCAGTTTTCCAAGAGATAATAATCCCTTCAAATTTTTTACAAATATGTAATAATAATAATAATTTGGCCACTAAATCCATGACTGTTTGTAAGATATTGCTGAGCGCAATTGGCTACTGCAGTTTACCCACCAACATATACACGTATTTCACTTTACAGTGCATTCTGTGAATGGCTTTGAGACACCTCAATGGCTTGAGTGGGTGCTATATCAAATGCAAGGATTATTATTATTAAATAAGGAATGTAAAATAAGGAATGATAGTTCCACTCCTATAGATGTTGTGGCCAATAGGAGAATCCCGATGGACTGACAAACGAAGTCTAGGTGGAATTTTGTGTTTCCCACCCCCACTCCTACCCTCCTTCCCACTCAAATGTCTCGGAGTATCAGGAAGTATGAGGTGAAAGAGTGAGTCCAAATTGCATGAATCATAAACATTTCATATTCCTTATTGAAGTGACATTGTGTTGTCTCTGCTTTGTACAGATATTGACGCTCAATGTATGTGCAAAGGAGTTTGTTGTTTCTTTTTGACTCCTTTGAAAAGTGCCTCAATCCAGGCAGCTAACAAGAGCTTGACTCCAATCAGACTTGTCTGGAGTTCGGCCTTAAGTGATAATTGGGCATCAGCCACAAGCTAAGCATCAGTATAAAGCTGGAGAAGACGGATGTAAAAAGAGAGATCTTCCTTTTCAAACTAAACCTTTCCTTTTTTATTGTTGAAACCGCTGTACAAGTTTTGTTTTCCGGGCACAGCCCACGACATCCTACAGTGTCTTGAAATATCGTGGCATCCCAAACTCTCTACCCAAACTCCTAAATAATGGTCGTGTCCAAATCTGATCGATGAGCCCTGGTCTTCATTATCTTGGATTGTCACCAAGCAGGGGATTGGTTTTCACCTCCTCCTCGTCATCCTCCTCTCTCCACCCCTCCCCATAATTAATATCCTTCCACTCCCCTCTCCACCACTGGCTCCACGACTTACTTGTCAGAACTTTGTCAATGTTTATTGACTGCGTAATGTCGCATGTGGTTGTTGACGTGCGGATCTCGTAAACTGTGTCAGGCTCCAGGTTTTGGAACGTCGCGTTACTCTCTTTTGTTTCAATTGTTTCAATTGGTTGCTCGGTGCCACTGACGAAGATGGCGGCGTTATAATTGGGATTCAAGTTCGTATCCTCATGTTGCCAACTTATTTTTATTTTTACACTGATCACTTGCACTAAATTGATGCGGATGAACACCAGCGGCACTGCAAAACACAATAGAAAGGTTGGATTACTCCTTCGCTCACCCACACTTCTCCCTTACTCAGCTACTCAGGCTTGCTGAGTGCCCCCCCCCAACCTCTATGCCCCTAACTTCTGGAACTCTCTCCCTCCCTCACGCTGTCTCATCCATGTACACACTCGCATGCTTGCACGCACTTTCTGTGTTAAATTCCTACCTAAATCTCAACTCTTCAAACTAAGGGTTTCTGAAAGCAACAACAACAACAATAAATGACATTTGTACAATGCCTTTCACATCGGGAGGACTTCCCAAGGTGTTGGATAGTCAAGGATTTGCACCAGAGCTGGGGGTTGGGATCAGGAGGTGTGGAGGGCAAGGGGGTGGAGTAAGAGGGTGACAAAAGGCCCGGTTGAAGAGGAAGGCCATTGAAGGAGGCAAGGAAGAGGTGCGGGGGTGAGGCGGAGTGACTGAGGGATAGGAGTTCCAAAGAGTATAGGGCAGAAAGTCAGAAGGCTTGATTGCTGATGGTGGGCAGGCGGCAGAAGCAGGCCAGAGTCCCTGGGTTTAAGAAAGAATACTTTTGTGGGTTTGTAACATGCACAACCATATCTAAGTTACTTACCACAAGTCCCAATAACAGCAACAGTTGTGGGGTTTGTTTTGGTGGTGGGGGTTGTGGTGATGGGGTTATGGTGATGGGGGTTGTGGTGGCCGAGGTTGTGGGGGTGGTGGTTGTGGGGATTGTGGTTGTGATTGTGCCATGTGGAGCGATGGTGAGAGTGGTGTTGGTAACGACAGTAGGATTTGTTGTGGTGGGGCCTGAATTTTTGGTTGAGGTGGAGCTGCTCCCAGTGGACGTGTCAGTACCAGTAGGATTTCCATTGGAGGTACTTGTTGATTCCACAGTTGTTGCTAAACCAGTGCTGCCTGTTGGGAGAACAGTAGTCACAATAACGGAGAGAGAATAAAGACAATTAACTTTTACATAGAATTACAAGCACTGAAACAGGCTATTTGGCCTATTATTCCACGCCAGTGCTTATACTCCCCACAAACCTCCATTTCCGCTATTTGTGTCTCCAATACCCCTTTTGTTTGGTCAGTTGGGTTTCTGACACCCATCACCATGCTTCCAAAGTATCCAAACCAAACTGAGATTTCCATGCATCCCACCTTTACATGAAAATCCCAGAGATAGACTATTGGAATGCAATGCGCACTCTCTCCCTGGAGAGACACATCCTACTCATCTAATTCCAGAAATTATTAGACGCAGATTGGTAAGAGCCAAGGTTTGGGGACACAAGAGCATTTACTCTACAGCTGGAGTCTGATCAGCTAAAGCCACATAGTTTGCCATTGATATCAGTGTCTGATAAGCTTTCCCACTCTTGTTCAGCTCGGACCACCCTACCCGTCAAGGTGTTGGCTTGCAGAGTTAATAACCCGCTCCTCCCCCTCTCCTTTTTTACAACAGTTTTCCTCTGAAATATATTGATATAGTGAAACATTATGTCTCAAAGGATTATGTCTCAAAGCGCTTCACAAGATGTACTGTACCTTCACAGATTCTTCCCGGGAAGTTGGGGCTTGTGTCATTAAATCCAGCCTTGCACTTGCAGGTGTAGGTTGAATTCTGTCTTATACATGTTGCGTTACCTGAGCAGTCATTGGTCCCCGTTGTGCAGCTGTCTCTTTCTGTAATGTAAAATTCACAGACAGAGTGATGAGATTCTCACCAGAAAATGGTCTCAAATCCCTCTGCCTCATACCTCCCAAGAAAGAAGAGAGGGAGGGAGATAGGAACAAAGGAAAGAAGGAAGGATGGAAGACAGCACCGCGAGTAATGGAATGATGCTCACCCCCATTTTGGGGTATTTTACCCCTAAGTGTCAAGCCTCTAAGACATGTGGTCATGCTTCTTAGCTATAACAACAGTAGGGTAGAGTTTCGGAGCGCTGAACCTACCTACTACACTTACCTGATATGCTGGTGTTTGTCAAGTCGAAATCTAACACTGTACTCTTGTTTAATGCATCTATGAATGTTTCCTTAATTTCGCTGTCAGTGACATTTACATCTTCATTTGCCACAATGCTAAAATGCACCACCACACTTCCTTCAGTTATAGAACTAATCCTGATGTACACACTTTTTGCACTAAGCAAACTCCGAACCAAATTGCTCAGTCCTTTCTCGATCTGAAAGAACCCAAATCAGACTGTTATACGTTGCTGGGAAAGAAGCCGCAGATTGGGTTCACTTGCAAAAAGAAATGCTAAGATTCAAAGGTTCATGGGTGATCTGATTGAGGTTTTAAAATAATAAAGGCACGTGACAGGACAACGACAGAGATACTGTTTCCTCTGGTTGGGGAATCCAGAACAAGGGGCATCATCTTAAAATTAGAGCTTGGCCATTTAGGAGTGCAATCAGGAAGCATTTTTTCACACAGAGGGCAGTGGAATTCTGGAACTCTCTCCCCCAAAAGGCTGTGGATTATGGCTGGATCCATTCAGGTTTTTAAGACTGAGGTGGATAGATATTTGTTAGGTCAGGATATCAAGGGATATGGGGCAAAGGCCGGTTATTGGATTTGGAGGGAGCGAGTCAGAGGGATGCAGTTCAATAATCTTAACAATAATAATCCTTGCATTCGATATAGCGCCTTATCACATCGTTGAGACATCTCAATGCTCTTCACAGGATAGACTGGAAAGTGGATTGATGGTGTATTCTGTGGGCAAAACAGGGCAGCCAATTGCAGAGCGTCCCACAACCAGTCGTGGATTGAGAGTTCCAAGTGGGGGGAGGGCGGTAGAACTGAAAGCTCCCATCCTGTCGATAGTGCGGTGGATAGGGCAGGGGTGTTGAAGCAGGCTGCTGAGTGAAGGGAACTCCAATGTCAGAACTGTAAGGCGCTGTATTAAATGCAAGCATTGTTATTTAAGTGTGATGAATGGCCTTACCTCATTTATAAGTTTCATGCTTAATTCTTTGTATTTTGCACTACTTGAGTTTCTGTAGTCCTCGATGAAAGGCTCATTTGTAATTCTTGTTTGTGCCTCCAACACCTTGCCCGCTGTAATGTACCAAAGAAACAGAGACTGGTTATTTGATTGGGAAAAGCATGAGGTAGACACTGCACTCACACTGCTGCAAACCCCCGTGGGGTAGAGAACACACTGTGTGCTGTGGTAATCGTCACCTAGGATAACAGCGCTAGGATATTTCAAAACAAATTTTACCAATATCCCATTGTTTACCTCGCAGTAAGTAGGTACGCAGTTGTTAGTTGATTCGTGGATCAGTTTTCCAAGAGATAATAATCCCTTCAAATTTTTAAAAAATATGTAATAATAATAATAATTCGGCCACTAAATCCATGACTGTTTGTAAGATATTGCTGAGCGCAATTGGCTACTGCATTTTACCCACCAACATATACAGGCATTTCACTTTACAGTGCATTCTGTGAATGGCTTTGAGACACCTCAATGGCTTGAGTGGGTGCTATATCAAATGCAAGGATTATTATTATTAAATAAGGAATGTAAAATAAGGAATGATAGTTCCACTCCTATAGATGTTGTGGCCAATAGGAGAATCCCTGTGGACTGACCAACTAATTCTAGGTGGAATTTTGTGTTTCCCACCCCCACTCCTACCCTCCTTCCCACTCAAATGTCTCGGAGTATCAGGAAGTATGAGGTGAAAGAGTGAGTCCAAATTGCATGAATCATAAAATTCATATTCCTTATTGAAGAGACATTGTGTTGTCACTGCTTTGTACAGATATTGACGCTCAATGTATGCACAAAGGAGTTTGTTGTTTTTTTTTAACTCGTTTGAAAAGAGCCTCAATCCCGGCAGCTAACAAGAGCTTGACTCCAATCAGACTTGTCTGGAGTTCAGGCCTTAAGTGATAATTGGGCATCAGCCACAAGCTAAGCATCAGTATAAAGCTGGAGAAGACGGATGTAAAAAGAGAGATCTTCCTTTTCAAACTAAACCTTTCCTTTTTTATTGTTGAAACCGCTGTACAAGTTTTGTTTTCCGGGCACAGCCCACGACATCCTACAGTGTCTTGAAATATCGTGGCATCCCAAACTCTCTACCCAAACTCCTAAATAATGGTTGTGTCCAAATCTGATCGATGAGCCCTGGTCTTCATTATCTTGGATTGTCACCAAGCAGGGGATTGGTTTTCACCTCCTCCTCGTCATCCTCCTCTCTCCACCCCTCCCCATAATATCCCTCCCCTCCCCTCTCCACCAGTGTCTCTACGACTTACTTGTCCGAACTTTGCCAGTGCTTATTGACTGCGTCATATCGCATGTGGTTGTTGACGTGCGGATCTCGTAAACTGTGTCAGGCTCCAGGTTTTGGAACGTCGAGTTTCTCTCTTTTGTTTCAATTGTTTCAATTGGTTGCTCGGTGCCACTGACGAAGATGGCGGCGTTATAATTGGGATTCAAGTTCGTATCCTCATGTTGCCAACTTATTTTTATTTTTACACTGGTCACTTGCACCAAATTGATGCGGGTGAACACCAGCGGCACTGCAAAACACAATAGAAAGGTTGGATTACTCCTTCGCTCACCCACACTTCTCCCTTACTCAGCTACTCAGGCTTGCTGAGTGCCCCCCCAACCTCTATGCCCCTAACTTCTGGAACTCTCTCCCTCCCTCACGCTGTCTCATCCATGTACACACTCGCATGCTTGCACGCACTTTCTGTGTTAAATTCCTACCTAAATCTCAACTCTTCAAACTAAGGGTTTCTGAAAACAACTACAACAATAATAAATGATATTTGTACAGTGCCTTTCACATCGGGAGGACTTCCCAAGGTGTTGGATAGTCAAGGATTTGCACCAGAGCTGGGGGTTGGGATCAGGAAGTGTGGAGGGCAAGGGGGTGGAGTAAGAGGGTGACAAAAGGCCCGGTTGAAGAGGAAGGCCATTGAAGGAGGCAAGGAAGAGGTGCGGGGGTGAGGCGGAGTGACTGAGGGATAGGAGTTCCGAAGAGTATAGGGCAGAAAGTCAGAAGGCTTGATTGCTGATGGTGGGCAGGCGGCAGAAGCAGGCCAGAGTCCCTGGGTTTAAGAAAGAATACTTTTGTGGGTTTGTAACATGCACAACCATATCTAAGTTACTTACCACAAGTCCCAATAACAGCAACAGTTGTGGGGTTTGTTTTGGTGGTGGGGGTTGTGGTGTGGGGTTATGGTTGTGGATGGTGGTTGTAGTCGTGGTGGGGGTTGTGGTGGTGGGGGTTGGGATGACGACGGTTAGTCGTGGTGGTCCGTGTGGTTGTGGGGTTGTGGTTGTGGTGGTGGGGGTTGGGATGACGGCGGTTGTGGGGTGGGTGTCGTTGTGGTGGGGTTGTGGTTGTGATTGTGCCATGTGGAGCGATGGTGAGAGTGGTGTTGGTAACGACAGTAGGATTTGTTGTGGTGGGGCCTGAATTTTTGGTTGAGGTGGAGCTGCTCCCAGTGGACGTGTCAGTACCAGTAGGATTTCCATTGGAGGTACTTGTTGATTCCACAGTTGTTGCTAAACCAGTGCTGCCTGTTGGGAGAACAGTAGTCACAATAACGGAGAGAGAATAAAGGACAATTAACTTTTACATAGAATTACAAGCACTGAAACAGGCTATTTGGCCTATTATTCCACGCCAGTGCTTATATTCCCCACAAACCTCCATTTCCGCTATTTGTGTCTCCAATACCCCTTTTGTTTGGTCAGTTGGGTTTCTGACACCCATCACCATGCCTCCAAAGTATCCAAACCAAACTGAGATTTCCATGCATCCCACCTATACATGAAAATCCCAGAGATAGATTATTGGAATGCAATGCGCACTCTCTCCCTGGAGAGACACATCCTACTCATCTAATTCCAGAAATTATTAGACGCAGATTGGTAAGAGCCAAGGTTTGGGGACACAAGAGCATTTACTCTACAGCTGGAGTCTGATCAGCTAAAGTCACATAGTTTGCCATTGATATCAGTGTCTGATAAGCTTTCCCACTCTTGTCCAGCTGGGACCACCCTACCCGTCAAGGTGTTGGCTTGCAGAGTTAATAACCCGCTCCTCCCTCTCTTCTTTTTTACACAGTTTTCCTCTGAAATATATTGATATCGTGAAACAACAAGGGGCAGAAAACACAAGTGGGAGTAGTTTATAGACCCTCAAACAGCAGTTACAGTACTGGGCAGGGTATTAATCAGAAAATTAGAGGAGCATGTATCAAAGGGAATACACTAAGAGTGGATGATTTCAAACTTCATATAGACTGGGAATACCAAATTGGCAAAGGAAAATTAGAGTTTTATAGAATGTATCTGAGTTACTTTTCTAGAACAGTATGCTGAGGACCCAACCTGGGAACAAGCTATCCTAGATCTGTAATTAAATAGGGCTAATCAGCAATCTGGAACTCAAGGCTCCTCGAGGGCAAAGTGACCATAACATGATGGAGTTTAAGATTAAGTTAGAAAGTGATATAGTTGAATCAAAAGCAAGGGTCTTAAATCCAAATAAAGCCAACTTTGCAGGTATGAAAGAAGATTTGGCTAAAACAGACTGGGAAATTAGATTTAAAAATATGACGGTAGACCAGCATTGGCAAAAGTTTAAAGATATGATACATAATTCCCAGCGATCATATATTCCCTTGAAAAATAAAAATATCACGGGAAAAGTGGTTCAACCTTGGCGAACTAGAGAAGTTAGGAAAAGTATGAAATTAAAAGAAGAGACCTATAATACTGCCACAAAGAGCTGTAAACCTGAGGATTGGGAGGGCTTTAGAGATCAGCAAAGGAAAACCAAGAAACTGATTTAGAGGGAGAAAATGGAATATGAGAGTAAACTAGCTAGGAACATCGAGACAGATTGTAACAGTTCTTACAAATACATAAAGAGATTATCAAAAGTGAATGTGGGTCCATTCCAGGCAGAGACAGGAGAAATTACATACGGGGAATAAAGAAATGGCAGAGTCATTAAACAATTATTTTGCTTCTGTCTTCACGTTAGAGAACACTGAAAACTTACCAAACATAGAGGGGAGCCTGGAGGCTTATGTTAGTGAGGAACTTAAAGAAATGAACATCAGTAAAGCAATAGTACCAGAGAAATTGAAAGGATTAAAAACCGATAAATCTCCTGGACCTGATGACCTACATCCTAGGTTTTTAAAAGCGGTGGCTGCAGATATAGTGGATGCTTTGTTTTTGATCTTCCAAAATTCCCTGGATTCTGGAATGGTTCCTTGTGATTGGAAGTTTGCAAACGTAACGCTGATATTTTAGAAGGGTGGGAGACAAAAATGGAAAACTATGGACCAGTTAGTCTGACATCGGTGGTAGGGAAAATTCTAGAGTCCTTAATTAGGGACATCGACGTGGGATACTCAGAAAATCATAACATGATTAGGCAGAGTCAACATGGCTTTACGAAAGGGAAATCATGTTTAACAAATCTAATAGAGTTTTGTGTGGATGTAACTAGCAGGTTAGATGGGGGAACCAGTAGATGTGGTGTATTTGGATTTCCAGAAGGCATTCGACAAGGTGCAAATAAAAGGCTGTTGCATAAGATTGGAGCCCATGAAATTAAAGGCAATTTATTAGCACGGATTGGAGAGTGGCTAACAGGAATAAACAGTGAGTAGGAATAAACGGGGGTCATTCTCAGATTGGCAGGATGTGACTAGTGGAGTGCCCACAAAGATCAGTGCTTGGGCCTCTATTATTTGTGGTTTATATCAATGATTTAGATGAAGAAATAGAACTTAATATATCTAATATATTTAGTGCTTTCTGTTATTGTAGTTCATAGTGTTGGCAGGTGGGTGAATAAACGATTCAGCAACTATCTGAGGACAGGGAGGTAGATAAAGATCCTAGTTTGGGTGTTTCTGAGGATGTTGAAGATACTGAGTGAGATGTTGACCCAGTAGCCCCTTACCTTGATTTGTTGTAGATGGCGATGAAGAATCAGTCACTGTTGATGTTACTGTTTGGCTGGTGGTTGAGAGTGCTGAAGGTATTGAGTTGGTTGCTGACCCAGTCAATATATTCTCATTTGCTGTAGATGGTGATGAGGGAGCATTCTGTGTTGATGTCTCTGCAGAAGATGCTAATGTGGTGGTACTTTCCACAGATGTACTTCTCTCTGTTGATGGGAAGGAAGAATCACATTGTTTTGAAATATTAGCTATGCAATCAGTAAGAGATGTGATTGGCATTGTTACTGAGTGTGTGGTTGAAATTGTTCTGTAGAATGACACACTTCATGTAGCGGTACTCGCTTCTGCAGATACTGTAGCAACATTTTTTGTTATCGATGGTGATAAAGTGCTACGTACCTGGGGTTAGGGCAGTGGATGAAGAGACAGTTGTGGCTATTTCTGAAGATGTTGGAGATACTGAGTGAGATGTTAATCCAGTAGATGTAGCTTCATTTGTTGTAGATGATGCTGACGATACACTTCCTCTTGATGTCACTGTTTCGCTGGACATTGAGAGTGCTGTAGATACTGAGTTAGACGTTGTATCAGTTGATGGTGATAAAATGCTACTTTCTGTTGGTGTATTTTTTCAATGTTTGGTTAGAGCTTAAATCACTAGATGTGGAAATTCTTGGGTAAGATAATGCCGATATTGTTGATGACACTCAGCTAACTGATAATTCAGCTGATGTGGAAATATGTGTTGATGAGAATAAGGTGATTATTTTTGTTTTTGCAGTTGACAGTGTTTGGCTGGAGGTTGAATGAACAACAAAAACAACAAAATTACATTTGTATAGCGCCTTTCAGATCGGGAGGGCATCCCAGACACTAGACCATCAGTATTTTGAACCCAAGCTGGGAGTCGAAATTGGAAATATGGAGGGCAGGGGGGCGTGCAGAGTGATCGAATGCAATGTCATTGCGGAGGCGTCTTAAAGAGGTGAGGGAGGGGCGATACAGATGGACTGTGAGATGTATTTCCAGAGGTTGTGGGCAGAGTGGCTGAAGGCTCACCAACCATTGGTGGGGCAGGCGATGTGGGGAATATGAAGCAGGCCGGAGCCCACTGTATTTAGTGAGTGGGCAGGTTGTTAGGGGGATAGGAGGTAGGGGGAGAAAGGGCATGGAGGGCTATAAACTATTGAGGATATACCTAAGGTCAGGGTAGTAGATGAAGAGACATTTGTGGCTGTTTCTGAGGATGCTGAAGATACTGAATTAGATTTGACCTAGTAGATGTACCTTCATTTGCTGTAGATGAAGCTGAGGAAACACTCTCCGTAGATGTTGACCCAATTGATGGAGAAGTACTGGCTTCTACTGAGGATGCTGATGTGGTGGTACTTTCCCCAGATGTACTAGTCTCTGTTGATTCT